ATTACCATTTTTACTCTGTAGAAATTGCCCCCATTTCCTCTGCCTACACATGGAGCAATTGTGAAGAATAGTTGTCCATTGGCTTTTGAGGTAACCATGAATTGATGAAATTTGGTCTGTGATAAAAAGATAGCGTGTATTTGTATGGAACAATTTCAGTTCACTCTTTGTATCTCACAATATTACCTGTCAAAAATGAGGATGTGCTTTCTCTGGCATGCTTACTGCATTTTATGTTTATAGTTTACACTGGTTCTATGTTTTGTACTCTGCTTGTTTTGCTTGTCCATCTGGGAATTTCCACATGTTGATGCCTGTTATGATGTCTTTGTTTTTTCAGCTAGGAAGAGTATTCAGACCTCCAGTGTAAGCCTGACACATTTTTTTAATCTTGTAGCTTAATTTGGTTGGGTGGTCTGACAGCACGGCAGTACAACTAGAGACGCCAATTGTCCTTGAAGACATTCTTTCAGATCTTCCAAAAGTAATTGACAATCTTAGAGTTCTTAAATCTCTAATTTTAATACCTTTTGGTTCATAAGCTGTTGTAAACTGTTAGGTGGGAAATACGGAAGATCGTGATGAAATGCCATATGTAAAGGCCCCTCAAACGGAATTCCAAAGATATATTCGGACATTTAGTTCTGGTGGGCCCCTACACTTTAATCTTCTTCTATGCTTTATCGTATTGTCTGACCTGCACCAAGTGGGACCATCATTCACTATGTCTGCAGGGTTAGCCTAGAAAACCGAGGAATGCAGCATACGAGGCTTCTCGTCTTTTCCTTTCTGTATCAAGTCGGTTATTTATCTTTTGAAGATACTAATTGTTGAGATAGGAAATAGTTTAGGGTTGTTAGGCAAATCTGATACGACTTGAAGATCAAGTTTGAGTCACCATACAATGGACCTGTCAACCGCGCGACGGTGCGCAGCCATCCCCGCACCACTACACTCTCAGGAGCGTAGGTTGTGAGTTGTGACCCTTTGGTGGAAGGAGGGAGAGGGGGAGGTTTTTTTGCATTGTATAAAACCAATTTTGTTCAGTACTAATGGTGGGGAAACTCAGGAAAAATAACATAATTCGATTGAAAACTATTGATAACAGCAGCTGGTGGTGCAAAGTGTCTTGTTTTGTTTTCCCAGTAGTTTAGGGTTTGGGTGTCCCTTAGGGTGTGTTTGGTTGATGCCCAGACTAGCCCTACCAAATGTTGGCAAGAGTTGACTTGCCAATTTGGCCAAGGAATCCCTCACCCTCATTTGGCCATTTATTTGGCAAGAATCTGTGTGAGGCAGGGGTAGACATCCATCAGCAACCAAAAATTTGGCAACAAAGCAAACAGTGACCAAGATTTGATAGGAAGCCGATTTTTTTGGCAGGGCTAGTGTGGGCAGCAAACCAAACAGACCCTTTCCTTGTACTGTATATTTGCCCTTTGGGTTGTTGGATATAAGCAGTCTTCATTTGAGCCTTTCTCCAGTATTGGCATGTTGGATGTCATAAACTAAATTTAGAAGGGTATCACATAATTTGCTTGTTTTGTTTTTTCCTGTAGTTTCCGTAATTTTTATTTAGTACCAAACCTTTTGTTAACCAAGTCCATTGATGGTCCTTTATCGTAATTCTGTCTGAAACTCGCATAAATTTCTTCCACTGCAGAAGTGCAGGGTCCCAAATCTCATGCTGCAAAATCTAAGTCAAAAAAATCTAAGCCAAAATTGTATGACCATCGGCCATTGGCACTGGGTAATGATAACTACTTAAGGGTTTTGCAAATTCCCAAGAAAAAGGTTTGCCGAGAAACTTATATGTTAGCATTTCATCTTTGATAAATCATTCCCTTCGATCTCACCTGTCCTATTCCAGGGAGCTAATTTTAGAGACCTTCCGGGAGTCATAGTTGGTTCTGACAATGTAGCTAAACTGGATCCAACAAAGGAAAGAGTGCTTTTACCATCCGGTCGTCCTCTGGTAAGATGCTCAAGATACACCATACTTCTCTGTATGTGCAATTTAAAACTTGCCAGGTTGTGATTTCGTATTTTCATTTCAGGTGCTTGATTGTGTACTAACCTACGAGGATGGTAGATGCTTAAGGTTGGTTTCAGTTGATTTTAGAAGTACACTGCTATTTCATGGATATGGTTTCTTGTTTCTGATTTAACTGTTTCTTGTATGATGTGTTGTAGACCTTTTGGCCGCTTATGGTGGGATGAGGTAGTCGGAACTGTGCTGACGTGTCCAAATATTCGTATGCAGGTGACTACGATTCTATCTTCTTTATTCACTTGACTCGTAATTTTAAAATATCTCATAAGAAACTAAGAGAGTATGTTTCAGGCCTTGATACATCCTGCGCAGGACAGACTACTCACTGTTCGTGAAAGTGCTCGATTGCAAGGTTTTCCTGATAGCTACAGGTTTCGTGGAACAGTCAAAGACAGGTACTTGCTTATGTTGTTTCTGTAGGTTATCACGTCTAAATGGTTGAGTACTTCAATTTCTTGTAATTGTAATACTTTATTCCTAAATAGTTGCAACCCACTACTTTTTTTTCCTATCCATGCAGCCCTGCCACATCAGCAAGTCATGCATCCCCACTAAACTTATTTTCCTGCCATCTTCTTAAGCCATGCCATCAGGTCCACTAATTGCAATTAAGAGGCTGCTTGGTTTGGTCCAAAAATTGGCTTGCCAATCTTTAGGCAAGCCAAAAAATTGGCTACCAATTGGTTGGTCACCAACGTACTTAGCCAACCAATCAAAACTTACCAAACATTGGCAAGAGATTTGTAATTGCCAAATGTATGACAAACTTTGACTCCTATGCTTAATGCAGAGCCTTTCCCCTTCCCTTTGCTGCATGCCTTGTCTTCTCCATCCCCAATGGTTGCACATATACTCCCCTCATCCTCGGCCTCGCTGCCCATAATCTCCTTGCCTCCGTGCAACGACACGGCCACCACTCCTTTCATATAGGTCATTTGTTGAGGCCGTCATATAGAATTCTCAGCATAGTCCATATGCCATACTCAATATGAATTCAAACTGTTTCTAATGATTTCCCGAAGCAACGTGTGGGGTATATTTAGTGCACATAAGATTATATTATGATATTTAGGTACTGGCTTGTAGCATAAATGTTAACATGTGATAGAGCTTGGCTGCAGGTATCGCCAGATTGGGAATGCTGTGGCCGTACCCGTTGGCCGTGCACTTGGGTATGCCTTGGCCATGGCCAATCTGAACAAGACTGGAAATGATCCCCTCATGGCGCTACCACCTAAGTTTGCATTCTCTCATAATATAGAAGGTACTCCTTAGTCAGACTGGCAAAACCTAACGGTTGACTTGTCCACCCGGGTTTAAGTCTCGTCATCTCCGTTCATTCTCTGCTAGAAAAGCTGGGTCATCGCTGCACCTCATGGTCGTGAATACCATTAGGACTCGTGAATATCGTTAGGGCATGCCCATTTTAACACAAGTCTTGATTCATTTTATTGCCATGTTGTACCTTGTAACATCTTAGTTTCTTAGAAGTTTCCGTAGGCAGGTGTAAGTTGCTCAGTAAGGTTTCTCCTGAGAGAACCTTGTGTTGTATTGTAAAAGAATGTATGTATCATAACTTTGTCACACACATTTGTTAGAAGCTCACATGGGCAGGTGTAGGTGGCTGCAGTGAGTTCCTCTGCCTTTGTTGTACTATAAAAGACTCTATGTATGTATGTATGTATGTATAGACAAGCTGGGTGGTCAGGGGAATAAAATGTACACCTTCTGACGTGCTGGTGGTGTTCTATACTTCTATGCATTTTCCTGTGAGTGAACATAAGAAATGCCTAAGAGCATTTTGAACAGATGATGTAAAACTGGTTTCCTAATTATTTTTTTGCCTTTCTCTTTTACGTCTCAATTGCATACGCATTAAAGCAAAACTTGATACGATAGTTAAAACTCATGTCAAGAATGGAGATATTTTTTTCTTCCTTCCTTTTTGGGCGCGATCTGATCAAGCCAATGGAAATACTCCAGGAACAAAGCGAATGGAAATACTCCAGGAACAAGAACCGATCGGTACGCCAACTAATCAGCCTCCAATAATTATCAATTTTATCATGTTACCCGGATGGCCGGATGATACGATCCGATCCCGTGGAGCAATGCTACACATACGTAGACTTACATTGGGTCTTTGGGCATCGTCAGCACAGCAGCCGGGCTATAAGCTTTCTAGTTTCGTTATAACTTGAGTTGATATCCCGCCCAAGCACGCCGCGTGCAGTTGACTCGCGCCTCCGCTGATCTGCTCTGCATCAAGAACCCAAGATCCAGGCTAGGCTGCCGTGGAAGCCATGGATGATCCGCAGCAAGCAGAAATGGCTCCGCCGGAAGACGCGCCCGCGCACCCCGTGCCGCACCCGGTGCGCGGCGTCTTCCTCAACTACATCGACTACTGGCGGCCACGGTTCTTCGCCCGTCCCTCGGCGCGCCCCGCGGTCGACTACGGTAACCTCGACTTCCTCCCCGACTATAGCCGGGGGTACAACTCCATCCTGGACCACTGCAACGGGCTCTTGCTCTACGGCAACGCCTGGCTGTACTGCGTGGTGAACCCCGCCACGAGGCGGTGGGAGCGTCTCCCGCGCATGGACGCCAACGACTACGTCCCGTATCTGGTCTTCGACCCAGCCCTGACGCATGGCTACGAGGTGTTGCTGTTCCGCCGCGAACCCGAGAAGCCCAAGAAGTTCGACCTCATTGAGTTTTTGTCTTTGCTGGATGACATGTCGGTCGGCGAGGAGGACGCAGAGAATGAGGGCCAAGATGAACCGGCTGTAGAACCTTTGCCAAGACAGTCCATCGAAGACTTGCATCGTTTGACGGAATGGCCACCGTCACAATGGACGCTGCCTGTGTTCTCATCGGCTACCGGAGTGGCAGGAGAGGTCATTTGTCCGGGAAGGAGAGGCTGTCAAGACGATGGCTAGTATGCAACTGGATGCAGTACAACCCATGGAATGGGGCCCAAGATGGCGTTACAGTGTGTATTGGCGAGGCGTGCTTTACGTCCATTGTCGTGGTGCATTTGTTGCAAGGTATGCATCCTAGATCCAAGTGCATAACTATAAAACTCCTTCCATTATAGTATTGATGTTTTTTTACTAATTTATATTAGAAAAAATAACTTTCCATCCGTGGATGTTTTTTTATATCACCCAATACATTTTAGACTATTAAAACTTTTAGCGAGTAAATTTGTGTTTTGTAGGCTATCTTTACCTGAGGGTAAATACCGGGTACTTAATACACCAGTAGATTTTGAGGAAAGCAAACATGCACGACCATATCTTGGGAAGTCAGAAAAAGGAGTGTATTTTGCGACAATTCACAAGTACAACAACCTTCTTCGGGTTTGGAACCTCAATGAATCAAGCGGTCCAATAGATTGGATACTAGAGCATACTATCGAGCTTGATGAATCTACTTTGTGGGCCGCGGCGCGTTTCTACCAACACGAGATTAATGGACCTTGGATCTTAGAGGACAATAACAACGATGATGTGGAAAACAAGATGGTGCCGCTAAAAGAAAATATTGAATGGAACTCCGATGATGATAATGTAATGAGTAATCAAGGTGGTTGTGAAGAACAGTACGGTCACATTTATTTCTTGGGTTTTCACCCGTACAAAGAGGTAATTTTCTTAGGGTTGTCATTTATAGGAGTGGCTTATCATTTGAATAGCTCAAAAGTCCAATACCTCGGAAAACTACGCCCAAAAGATTACTGCACAGCGTATTCAAATGGCATATATGAATCATTTATGTACACTCCCTGCATGGTTGGGGAGCTTTCAGAGACTCCTCCATAATATGTATGCAAAGGTTACCATATGTGAACTGCAAATGGTTCAACAATGCAAGAAAAAGTGTATCCTAAAGTTCGAGTCTTATTTTCAGCCATGAATACCATATTATTTTATACATTTCACAATCTTCTGAGGTAGTTTGTCATATGGTTATGTAATTTGTACTTCTTATGCATTTGAACCAACCAGTTGTCTTCTTGCATAGTTCTACCTTCTTTTGAGGGAGCATAAGTCTACATGTAAGTACCGCAAAGTGTAGAAACATATATACTGGTTACAAATGTCTTACTTCCCCACGCTCTTCGATCACTTCTGGGCATGCAAAAGTAGTCATGTGCTTTTGAAATCGTGTCAAATTTTGCGCCATGTTAATCATCATAATATAGTTCTATATCAATTGCATGTGAAAAGGCATTCATCAATGGTAATGTCAAGGAAGAACTATGTGTCAAACAACCCCCTTTTGAAGGCCACAAGCATCCTGACAGAGTGTATAGGCTCCACAAAGTCCTTTATGGGCCCAAGCAAGCTCCTTGATCTTGGTATGATACACTCAAGAAGTTCTTGGAAAAGAAGGGCTTCAAACTAGGAGGCACTGAATCCACTCTCTTCACCAAATCTTATAATGGTGATCTATTCACATGTTAAATATATGTGGATGATATTATCTTTGACAATACTAACTCTCATTACAACGGATAATTTGCCAAATTAATAGCCGAAGAATGTCAAATGTCCATGATGGGGGAACTAAAAATATTCTTATTCCAAGTTCGTCAACAACGGAATGACATCTTTATCTCTCAGGAAAAATACCTCAAAGCCGCCTGAAGAAATGTTTCATGGAAAATTGGAAAGACATCAAGACTCCAATGCCAACACATGGACACCTTGACCCCAAGATAATGGTAAATCATTCAACAAAAAGGTATATTGCTCCGTTGGCTTTCCATTTTATCTGTGTGCATCTAGGCCCAACATTATGTTTAGTGTTTGCATGTGTGCTCTTGGGATGATTGCGTGTCCATTAGGATGGTGAAGAAAACCAGAGATCCAAATCTTCACCCTCCCATGATCACATATCCTTGTCCTGATGACGCTTATCCTACTAGCATGCTTGGTGGGTGTGATCCTCAATTCCGCGCAACAAATGCTAAGTTTACCACCAAGTCAGCAAAGAAATGCGCTGGTAGCTGTGACAGCGGCAAACGCAGCTCATCTTGGAGCTCCTCCGTCTCCTGAGCCCAAAGAGCCCGAGACCATCCCATTTGCATCGTTCCGACAAACTACTCTTAAACCGTGCATGTGGGATTTTGGACAATTTAATACACAACGAAGGAGCGGATTTGTATAACTCTTTGAAAAATAGGTCAAAAATACAATTCACGTTTTAATACAAAAAAATGCTTTTTCAAAATCACTCCTAAACCGTGAGAATTCTGTGAAAATGTTCAACATGAGAAGTGATCATCTTGTCCACGGTTTTTCAGCGGTGTATTACACGCCTTGTTCAGACAAAATTCCGACAAAATCACAAAAAGTTGAATGTTTCGTCAGATGTACTTCGGGTATAGAAGAAGGGGCGGTTCGATGACGTTAAAAGAATATTATTCTACGAGTACTAATGGAACAACTCGTGTGTGTGTGTGTGTGTTTGTGTGTGTATGTGTGTGTGTGTGTGTGTGAGAGAGAGAGAGAGAGAGAGGACCCCGAACCATTTTGAGGAATTCCCCCAAAACGACCCGGAGCCTCCAACCCGTCGCTCCCTCACGTTTTCAAACGACCGCCTCATTATTCTAGTGACCAACGTCACCAAAAATCCCTGCCGTCATCGATAATCAACCCCATTGTCACCATCATAGTTGTGCGACACCATGTAAGGGTTCGCACAAACCCCGTAGCACATCTCTATTTGATTCTACGCTAAGGTATATATACTCACATTTTTGCATCATACCCCACTTCTCCAATGTAATGTTCATAGAGTTCTAGGGTTTTGAACAAAATCCTTAGGGTTAGGTTTTGTTTGAACATTTCGGGGTCCCTGATAGGTAACCGATCTGAGCTGAGCTTCCAAACGAGCTTGGAAAACTCTCTAGAGTTGCCTAGGAATTTATCACCAAAAATATGCCCCTAGCAAGGACAATTTTATCTCAAGGAAATGGTCTAAGTAGAAACGAATCCGCACAGATGACAATGATCCCCCATGATTTTCATGGATGCTCGGCCTTAGGGCATCTCCAACGCTGACCCACAAACGGCCTGCAAAAGTTTCAGACCGCATGACCCGAACATGTTCTGCCATCCAACACGGTCCTGTGTCGGTTTGCAGCTCGGTCCGGACGCGCTTTTTCCTGTAAATCGGATACAAAGTGGGGGACTTTGTGGGTGGCTGGACTGCTGCCACGCCCGCTACTGACTACCCTGGCCCACGCAAAACCCTCCTCCCTTGCCCGCGTGCATCCCGCTCGGCGCCAGTTGCATGCATTCATGCCGCTGTAGAGCGGCCGCTCCGCAATGACGCCAGACCAGAGCGGGCGCGACCTCTCACTGGCACCGACATTGGAGCAGCGCGCTGACCGACATAGCCGCACGCGCTGTGTCCTATTGTCCGCATATGTTCAATGCCGGATCAACTTTATTGTACTAGATGAGACGGATATCTACCACGCCCATTTAATGCCCGTCTGTTCATATGCTGCCATTAAGCAGGCTCGCAGGCCAAGGAACGAACTCCACCGCTGCGCATTGACGCACCTGAACGCTTGGCCTCACTGGAATCCGCTATTTAAAGGCAAACACACCCTGCTTAACTCCACATCACAACACTTCCACTCCACATCCTCCTTTGCACCACATCCATCATGGCTGCAAGCTCCAACGCGATGTGGGAGAGCCTTTCATCGGAGCAGAAGCATGAGGTGGCCGCTAATACGTCCATTTTACATCATGTTTTTCTACTGTTATTTATAATCTTTTAGAGCTATATCTTACTTTATGATGCAATTCTAATGTCTTTTCTCTCTTAAAATGCAAGGTACACCAAAAGAGGGAGATTGTTGATAGCTAGAATTTGGAGCCTAAAAAATCTACAACAGAGATAGCTATTCTCCGAAGCTCCAAATAACCTGAAATTTTACAGAGATTTATTTTGAAATATGTAAAAAATATTGTCACAAGGAAGTACTGGAGAAGAGCCTATGTGGGCCCACAAGGCAGGGGCACAATCTACCCCTAGGGCATGCCTAGGTGCCTTGTGGGGCCCACAGAGGTCCTCCGATGCCCATCTTCCCCTATATGAAGTCATTTTCCCTAGAAAAAAAGAGAACATTTTCGGGACAGAGCGCCACCGTCTCGAGTCGGAACCTGGGCAGGAGCACTTTTGCTCTCCGGCGGAGTGATTCTGCCGGGGAAACTTCCCTCAAGGAGGAGAAATCGAAGCGATGGTCATCACCGATGCTCCTCTCGTCGTGGGAGGACTCACCTCCATCAACATCTTCACCAACACCATCTCATGTCCAAACCCTAGTTCTTCCTATTGGGGAACACGATAATTTCAAAAAAAATTCCTACGATCACGCAAGATCTATCTAGGTGATGCATAGAAAAGAGAGGGGAGAGTGTGTCCACGTACCCTCGTAGACCGAAAGCGGAAGCATTTCAATAACACTGTTGATGTAGTCGAATGTCTTCGCGATCCAACCGATCCAAGTACCGAACGTACGACACCTTCGCTCGATGACGTCCCTCGTGCTCTTGATCCAGTTGAGGATGAGGGTGAGTTCCGTCAGCACGCCGGCGTGACGACGGTGATGATGATGCTACCGGCGCAGGGCTTCGCCTAAGCACTACGATGGTATGATCAAGGTGTGTAACTGTGGAGGGGGGCACCACACACGGTTGGGAGAGAAACTTGTGTGTTCTAGGGTGCCCCCTCCCCACGTATATAAAGGAGGGGGAGGAGGAGGCTGGCCAAGAGGGGAGACGCGCCATGGGGGGGAGTCCTACTAGGACTCCAAACCTAGTAGGATTCGCCCCCTTCCTATTCCAAGTGGGAGAAGGGGGGAAGGAGGAGGAGGAGAGAAGGAAGAAGGGGGGGCGCCGCCCCCTCCCCTTGTCCAATTCGGATTGGGGCAAGGGGTGCGCGTGCCACCTCCTGGCCGGCCCTCTCTCTTCTCCACTGAGGGTCATGAGGCCCAATAACTTCCCGGAGGGGGTTCCGGTAACCCCCGGTACTCCAGTTTTATCCGAAACTTTTCCGGAACACTTCCGGTGTCCGAATATAGCCGTCCAATATATCAATATTTATGTATCGACCATTTCAAGACTCCTCGTCACGTCTGTGATCTCATCCAGGACTCCGAACAAACTTCGGTCATCAAAAACACATAACTCATAATACATATCATCATCGAACGTTAAGGTGCGGACCCTACGGGTTCAAGAACTATGTAGACATGACCAAGACACATCTCCGGTCAATAACCAATAGCAGAACCTGGATGCTCATATTGGCTCCTACATATTCTACGAAGATCTTTATCGGTCAAACCGCATAACAATATACGTTGTTCCCTTTGTCATCGGTATGTTACTTGCCCGAGATTCGATCGTTGGTATCATCATACCTAGTTCAATCTCGTTACTGGCAAGTCTCTTTACTCGTTCTATAATATTTTATCCCGCAACTAACTCATTAGTTACAATGCTTGCAAGGCTTATAGTGATGAGCATTACCGAGAGGCCCCAGAGATACCTCTCCGAAACACGGAGTGACAAATCCTAATCTTGATCTATGCCAACACAACAAACACCTTCGGAGACATCTGTAGAGCATCTTTATAATCACCCATTTATGTTGTGACGTTTGATAGCACACAAGGTGTTCCTACGGTATTCGGGAGTTGCATAATCTCATAGTCTGAGGAACATGTATAAGTCATGAAGAAAGCAGTAGCAATGAAACTGTAACGATCATAATACTAAGCTAACGGATGGGTCTT